AGCTGTATGTTTGTTGACAGGGTTCTTCTAAAATGCTAGGGGGTCACACTTGGATCCGTTTCTTGACCTCTACGCACGATTCCAACATGATCGTTAGCACTATCGCGCATCTTTAATTACGTAAGGCAAATATTTTGCCAAGCGATAGTATGTCTCGTTAACATTAGTCCAATACATTTTTCCCGCGACAATTTTTCCTGGCGACAATTTTTCCTGGCGACATTTTGTCCTGGCGACATTTTGTCCAGGCGACAATTTGTCCGGCGACATTTTGTCCGGCGACATTTCGTCCTGGCGACATTTTGTCCGCGACATTTCGTCCGCGACATGCAGGTGAGATATTGGTTGAAGTGTTCCTTTGGGGTCCTCTTTCCACGGGTGGTTTCCAGGCTGTCCGAAGTCCGCGAAGCAACACCTCGTGCCTGTGGGAGAGAGTGGGGTGTTTACATAACAGGTGCGGGTAAATTTATATTGCAGATCCAGCTCCTGAAAAGAAGAGGAAGGTCTTACAATAAAAGGTGACGTAAACCAGGGGTCTAGTTACCTTTGACCATCCTCTGCACGGCGTGTTAAGTTATAGACAGGGTAAGTTCTTATTATTCTATGCTTCTTGAGACCTATTATTACATGTGTTGTAGAATTGATCAGACCGATCTCATAATGCCTTTTAGAGTCACCAAGGTACTTGAGGCGTACTGCAGGAGGGATTCTATTTTGGACTCGTGGTAAGCGTAATTTTTAGACACAAAGCAGAGTAGCATGAGGGCATACCTTTGCTAGTAAGAAGATATGATGAGATTTAAAGGCCTCCTGCAAAAAAAATGCAATGTTATGGTACAAGGTGTCTCCACCTAGCTTCATTGTTGAGGATTTTTGGCCAACAATGTGTTTGAACCGTGCGCTACCTCTTTGGGGAAAGAATTTATTTTCAGTAATTCCTCGAAAGGTTTTCACAGCAGATTCAGTAAAGGTTAGGAATGCCATAGTTTTCAGTTATTCCAGTTAAGTCAACGTTCAGGAACCGATTAAAAGCATTGAAATACCGAATAAAGACAATAAGAATTTCTTACCAGGAATAAGTTCATACTCAACTTGAATCGAACCAATGCCAACACTAATTTCATTCTCAAGGTAGCCCTTTTTAGCCCCTCTCAGTATCTTGACTTGCAACTAGACCAACATTACGATAGTCTCTGTCACTTTAAACTTTGAGTAAGCCATGCTCGTTCTGCCCACAATATGATATTCGTATATTCGAAAATCTAATAATGTTATTCTTCCATGAGAACTAATAATGAAACGCATACCAGATGTGAAAAAAACATGTATTTTTTAGATTTTTCAGGATTTGGTTTTTAATATGCCTAGGAACAGAGAACATCACCGAGAATAATATGAAACTCTGACTCAACCAAACTGAGAATTTTATTTTTACCCGACCAATCAGTTGGTTAGTGAAAATGAAGGAGCTATTCCGACATCACGTTCGCTTGAGTAAGCAAGAAGTCCCTTGCATCCTGCCTTCCAATAGCAGTTAGTGCGTTGAGAAAGATGGAAACATATTTATTTCGATCCTTGTGGAAGAGGATTTCAAAGAGCTCGTCATATAGCTCCCTTGGGTCGTCTTTGCTTCGGATCTGCTTCGCCTCGAAGAGCGTGAAGACGTTCTTGTCACTCAAACTTCGAAGCAACTCTTTGCCGTCCACGTTATATTCATCCCGTAGCACCAGACGATTCGCTTTGATAACGTTCCACGATATTAAGTTCTCGCTTCTCTGCTGGAACAAAAATGTCATCCTGTCAGTTCTGCGTCCACGATCATTATTAACCCTTTAATGTAAGTTGTTTTTCTCATTTCGGAGAAAATTTTATGATAGGTTTCACTTACTTCCTTAACGCGGAACAAGTGGGAAAACATTTTTAAAATCAAATTTGTAACAATAGCCCGAAAATGTTGTTCGTGCATAATTGCTACAAACAGCATTTTCAGCTTTCTCACACGCGCTCCATGGGCGCTATAGAGCTCAGTTGGTCAGGAGCATATCTGCTACGTCGTGCATTAAAGGCTTAATAATCCTTTTAAAGCCATCCTAACCTCCATAACTATGAAGCGACGAAATTGAAGTGTGGGTCACATAATGAAATCCATGCCATAGGATCCAAAAAAAGAGGTAAGCACAATGGTCTGGAAGCGTCAGACATTCCCACGGGGTTTTCTAACCATCCTTTTTATAACGCACATAACACATCACAAACTCAGAGTATTTTCATATGAGGAATATATGTTTCTCACACGCAAAACAAGATCGATTTTCGGAGTACCGTGTAAGCGACACTCCATTACGAGGAAGGGAAGTAGTCCTGCTCGCTATCTGGTCAATTGGCCGAAAGAGTAGCCCAGACGCCGCCTCACACAATTCTGAGGCGGATCAAAAAGATGTTATAACTTGTTGGGGGGAATAGAATCCCCTGAGATATCACTTCTAGACTTTTCCCCAAGATGGAGAGAACTACAATGAGTGTGTAATTGAAATATCCTTCTATTCAGAGATGTTAGAGGCTTGTTTACTAAATAAACTGACTTCGGTTCTTTTCGTTGAAGCAAATATACACTCAAAGAAATCGGTAAATCGAGATGAAATAATTCTCTCAATTTTTGCGTTTCGATTTATTTTTCCCAAGAGAAAAGACATAAATTGGATTTTTTATTCATATCTCTCGCTTCCCGACCGTGCAGGGTCGTCTGAAAGGAGTTCAAAAACCAAAATGCGTCTATAGCCGAGTCGGAAGGGTGTTTTGAGTGGCTGTGCATCGTCTAGACACATGTTAACCTCCGTATTCCACTTCATCGTGCCGAGGAAGCCCCCCCCCCCCCTCCTTCTCCCCCATGAACCCTCCGGGCAATGCATTGACAGCCGAAGGATTCACACGCAACCGCCTGAGTGCATGGTCTCTTCGCCACTTCACCTTCCCTCCGACCCGTGCGATTAGCTCGTGCGTCTCGAAGGGATTCCCATGTAACCGCTTACTTCATTTTTCGAGTCCAGTTTCGTACGGTGTTTGTATTCCGTTTGGTGCGTTGGTGGTGCAACACGTATCGCCAATATGAGATCCGACTGCTAACTATGGATATTTTATAAATATTTAACAGTCCTTTAAGAATACATGGATTCCTATGGGAGAAAAAGAGTTCCTTCGCTAAAAGCCCCGTTGTCTCCCCTAAATGAGGTTCGTGTATTCGGGCTTTAAGCTCAAAAGCCACCATATTCCCACAATAGGACATGCAAGGCAAATTTTGATGTGGCGGAAGTTCATCATGAAATGTTCAATGCGGCAGAAGTGCATAATATACCTGACCTATACACACAGAATCAAATTAATGCATTTTCGTCGAGAAAAAAGTTGTCCTCCGTGTGATGCGTTTTTATCGCATCCAACATTTGATGTGAATAACCGCATCCAAAATTCGATGCGATAAAGATGCATCACATGCAGGACATATTTTTTCGCGAGAAAAATGCATCGAACTGAGGCACTGAATTTTCTGTGTGTAATCAAAATTTTCAGAGTAGAACCAACCTGTTCTTGAGACGGTGCCTTGTCACCCTTTGTGTCAGCATATGATACTGTCAGCAATAATAAAGCACAGAATATCTATATTAGTTGTTCAAAATTAGAGATTTTTCACAAAAAAAGGACTGGAAAGAAGCGAATGAGAATGCTCCACCATACCAAATGCAAGCATGCTGACCAAATATTCTCGTGGAACCATGAAGTACGTGCCGACAGCAATCAGAAGCACGATACATGCCACGACGTTGCGTGTTTTCAAGAGCGTCTGGAATTGCTTCTTGCAACCTGAGAAACCACTTCTTCTGTACGGTTCCGGAGCTCCTTGAATGATGCTTTCTTGAAATCGATCCACATTCGGTCCGGCTAGAATAATGCGAATTACTCTGTTTGACACTCGTGTCAGATCATGGAATCTTATTCCGAGGATACCTTACTATACGGATCTTGGCAGAAAAACATTTCTGAAGAAACCACGTCGAAGTTGCATGCTGAAATTCATTCATTCGCTGATTTTTCCCTTTAAAAAGGTAAGACAAGTGTGAAAAGCATAATCGTTGGATCAAGAAGATTCCCTTAGGAAATTAGGGACCGTTTCGAACTTGTTTTCCTTCAAGCAAACCTCCATAGAGGAAATCCACTAGTACAGGCAATCAATAACCTTAAATGGGCTGCTCACCATCAGGCGGAGATGTTGGATTTGCAGCAGGCTCTCTTCCGATCAGGTTCACATGGGGGAGACCACTTTGATGTGATGATGCATGATGGGGAAGTGGAATAAGATGAGCTTGTTCGATTTCTTCCAGGGCTTGCCGGAAGACTTGAAACCCAGTTGGGCCTTTCATTCGAACACTTTCGAGAATAGTTTGCCTTTCGTCACGCCTCGTTTTATGTCCCTTCACAGTATCCCTCCACTCCACAGAAAGTATGTTCTTGGAGATGAGTATCGGTGCAATTTGATCAACGTCCAGCTTGTCCATCAGAGCGGGCCAATTTCCTGTAAGAATTGCTTCAGGATCTGATACGTCACGAGGCCCCCTTAAATCAGGAAGAGAACATGATTTTCCCAGAGACCATTTCTGACGAACTTTTTTACTCGCTACCCATAGTTCAAACAATCTGTATATGGGTGAATCTCAAAGGAAGGTTTCCATCGCGGAAGTTGTGAACTGGGTTCCTTCAAGGAACAATTACACTTGGCGAAAATAACTCATTCTTCAATTGCAAAATCTCACAATTTTACAGTTTTTGACATTTCAGCTGAAATATGTTCAATTCGTAGCCCTATTTTTCTGCAATGGGGTAATACAATGGCGAAGTTTCTCACGGCAACGAGATTTCTCCTGGCGATCCAGTACTACCTCCAAGGTTTGCCTCGGATGATGTGCTGAGTCTTGCGAAGGGAATATCTGAAAGTAAGGAAGCACATACAATTCTCAAGGACTCCTGCATAGCAAATTTTCCTGAAGGAAATCTGGCTGTGGATTTCCTTCAAAATTCTGGCAGAAATACTGAAATTTTCATCAAGATTTTCCAAAACAAAACCGGATGACTAAAATTTAATGTTACGGTTGGGGTTCTTTCACATTTTTTGCTTTAAGAGTGTTCCATAAATGGGTTTCTTCAATTAGAACATGCTTGCTGTCTTCCATGAGAAACTGTGGAAAATACTAGGTATTTTCAATCATTTGGGAGAATAACTCACGTTGTCCTTGCAGCCTTGCGATGATATCTTCCCTTTTTATTTTCTTCAAAATATCCAACACTTTACGCAAGGTCGGCACGGGATTTG